CAGTTCATTACAATGGTCTCATTATTGGTTATGCCACATAAGAAAAACTTGAACATCTCATTTGCAAGCAATAGCAGCCCATCAGAGTAACGTCTTTCAAAGAATTATTTCACTCAACCCACCCCACTGGCGAGACAAGAGGATAGATCTATGAAATGAATAGTCATTATTCTCTTTTATGCATGTAAAAGCGGCTACAAGGTGAGACTTGTAGATTTCGAGAGCCATTAAACTACTTTAATAGGCCTAACTAAGCTACACTCAGAAATGTAGAAGAAGCACTCTACTCTATCGTAGCATACTCAAGTGCTTGCGTCGATGTGATCTTTCCATACTTACTTGCCAGTACAGTTAAGAATGATACACTTCAAACAAATTACCGGGCGTTTATTCGAGAACATAATTTAGCCAGTCCAACCTCTGCAATGATTGAGAGGAAGAAGGGTGACGAAGGATAAGACTAATTATTCTTCTTGAAGAAAGAAGCATTCACCTGATAAAAATAGTTTTCAGTCTCATCCTCCATCTCAGTTTCTTTCTCTGCCCGTAACCACACAAAATTGATCCATACGTAGACGAGGAATGCCAACAACAGGCCTACAGCGCAGTATACCGAGGTCAGCATTAAGGGCAGGAATTCCAGGTGTGGATACACAAGAGGAAGAAAGACCCGATTAACAAGAAGAAGAGGAATCAATCCAAGCAGGTGAACTCGAGCTAGACCAGTCAATTGAGGCCAGAAGGTGAATAGAAGGCCCCTGGTGACTGGACTTGACGAGCGTCCCAATAGGAGGTACTGAGTTAGTGAGTAGACCAGATAGGAGGACAGGACAATGGGTTGTTCTAAGAGAAACAAGTGACCATGCTTGAAATTTACCACAGAACACCGTGAAAAATGTTCAATTCTAATAGAAATAATAAGTAATTAACTCTCCAAATCACATCATTATGGGAAAATTCAACAGAGATAATTACGAGATAAGTAAGCATACCATTTGGGGTAAAAATCAACGGTAAGAGGCTGAAGTGGGCAACAGTATTGACATAAAAGGCAATTCCTCGAAGTCGCCGTGAAGCCACAGCCAAAAAACTACAGAAACCAAAACAAAATGTATGTGTTTTTTGGTCAAAAAAAAAAGCAGAAGAAGAGTTGACTTACGTTAGTGGAAGAGTTATCATTAGGACAGCTTTTTCGTGAACATGCCAGCCAAAGAGGAAGCACGCCCAAGATGCAGCAACAATGGAGCGAAGCAGCAAGAAACCGGAATCCACTGGGCACATGCTTTCGTTATTGTACTTACATAGTACCAGACTTGGCTACAACAGAGAGGTGAAACATAAGTTCTACATCCTTCTGATGGTTAAAAAGGATGGAAGAAATTACAATCATGAAAACAGCAGTCAACACGGCTGTGTGTAGAGGTCGGATGGTAGGAAGGCAGAGGTGTTCATAGTTGCCCGTCAGCCCACTCGTCATTGGCACTACATTGTTCCAAGATCCCGTCGGCTGTCGTGAACAGAATTTGATGGGCAAAGCTAAAAGAATTGAAATAAGGTATAAATATTCTGCCACTCCAAATTGGATTGGTAACAAGACATCGGAACACTAGCATCCACCAAGAAATCGTTACGTCAATAATGCAACTAAATAACTAAAAGTAGCACAGATGACAGATCTTTTTGCCTTTCAACTCGAACCAGCCCCACTTCTTGATACGAAGTTTAAGACTAGCTCCCAGATAACAAGGGAGGATTTCATATCTATAAATGTTGACCACTTCTTGGTGGGAAAACTACGTAGTGCACAGTCAAGTACAATTTACAATAAGTGAACAGACCTCAGTTGTGAATGCCTGGCCGTCAGTAATTAACCAGACTACTCACAAACATAGTAAGTAGGAACAACTTAGGATGTATTTAATGGCGAACGTATTGGTAGACCTGACTGCCTCAGTCAAGGAAACGATAAAGTGGAAAAAGCATGCCTGAAGAACTGAGGGTCCTGTCCACAGTATTGTAAACAGCCCAAAAGTTAGGAGCCCAGTAGGAGTGGCACAAACCGCGTTTAAATGGGAACAACCTCGCAAGCAAATTTGCCATTTTGCCCTACGGAAAGAGAGCCTATTAAAACAAAATCAACCCTACCCAATAAATAAAAGGGGCCAAAGAGACTGCGAAAACAATACCAACAACACCGGCAATCGCAAACAAACGGCTGAGCATAGCTTTGAATCGACCTTTCTCTAAAGCAGAAAATCTTTTGGATAAGAGGCTAGACTACCCCTTTTCAGGCAGTAGTGAAACAGAATAAAGACAAAGTAAACGGGAGCGATGTAGACAAATATGTGCTTCAAGTTTAGCAAAATGGAAAACCAAAATCCACTCCAGAGGATGCTACCCTAAAAATAACAAAGGAGTACAACAAGGGAGGAAATTGATCCTACCTGAAAGGCTTTGAGGATGGATAAGAATAGAATACCAAAGAGAAATCCATTATATTGGAAGTGGATGTCTTTAGCCCGAAAAAATGTTAAAGAAACCAAACAGCTCGAAGCTAAGATGTTAACTTCTTACTTTTTGTCAGCTGAATAAAAAAGGATACGATCAACCACCAAAAGGCCAAAGTTAAAAGCAAAGAGAAAGGTTGCAGACAAATACGTTGGGCGAACCTTATCGCCAAGTCGCCCGAGGATTTCTGAAAGCAGCCTTACCAAGGTGGTAAAAAAACGAAATAGCCAACTCACCTACAAATTGAATAAAAGAGGATGCATTCGGAGAGCAAAACCGATATGCGTTGAAAGTAAACTGTAGCTAATGAAGAGTATGGTTCAGCAGACAAAAGCACAATTTTTGGGTCGACTTTGCTGGCAAGTTGCGCCAGAGCCCACTCGAAGTAAGCGAACAGAGGCGGATAGTCCAATGTCCACTGGCTAGTAGCCTAAAGCAAATTATGTGACTAATCTAGAGGGACAAACCTCATTGTACCACTCAGATACGTTCGTGCTGTATGTTATGGCAAGCCAGTTCCTATGCACCTCAAAATCCGTAGAATGACTAGGATACACTACGAGTTTAGACTTACTAAGCTTCAAACAAAAGGCTCTTGAAAGCAGCTGCAGCCAAAATTATCTGAACTCCATAAGACAGCATAGCTTTCTGAAAAAGGGAATAGACGAGAAATTGTCAGCGCTTATGGTGGAAAAGAAGACGAAGCAGCAAAATCTTAGTATGTTGCAGGAGTTTGAAAAAGGACTCATCAGCGTGCAATGATCAATCTACCAGGCACCCATAGATATAAAGGGCAAACAACAGCCGCGAACGTGGATCGAGAGTAAGAGGAAAACCACCTCACGCAAGCATGAGTCGAACAATGTAAAACCAAGGAGAGAATTGTAATAAGAGGATAAATGTTACAACTACGATCATTTTGAACAAGTCAGATGCACTCCTCCGCAAATTGAGAAGGCAAATAAAGAGGCAATAGGAGTTGAAATTACCGTTTGCCTATCTGGTACGTAATTTACTAACGCCTCTGAAGTAGCCAATTAACCAAGCACGAGATACCGACAACTACGTCAAAGTTGGGCTTGAGCTTTGAATGTACCGGGTTTTGCGTGGCACTGTCCGTAGAGGGGCTTAATTATGTATGCGAATCCAAAACATTTCGCAGTGGATTAAATATAATTTTTTTGTTGGTGCCCTTTTTTGTGCCCTAAACTTGGCAGCACCAATGTCATTTGAATGTTGGGACCAAATGTCATTGCTAACTTAATCTATGTTAACCCAGTTGATTACATGTCTAGGCTACTTCGTGGTGAACCGATTGCAAAGTGCGACTTTAGTTCCGTTATCCTCTCACGCTTTTGATAAGTAAAGTTATGATAATGTACCGCTCCTTTGTAGTCAAATACTGAGCGAGGTGAGACAGGAGGTTTCACACTTGAACAAAACGGGCCGGTTTGAGCCAACTTTGGCGGTTTTGCAGGTAACCATTTCCCTTTGCTACTACATAATCCTGAGATTCCTTAGACTGGTCTTCTTGATTGTACAGACGTCTACGTGTCCCAGCAAATCAGGGCAGCCAACTCTTCGGGAGTTCGCCTCAGGAGAGTAATTCTTCCTAGCACAACGCCTATTGAAGAGCTAGCTCACCAGATTAGTGAACTAAATGAGGACCCTAGCGTACATGGCATAACCGTTCAAGTGAGCTTAACGCCTTCCTGGGTCATACTATTTCGCAGCTACCGATTGGTTTAGAGGGTATGAACAGAGACCTGGTTTTAAGCAAAATCAACCCCATTAAGGACGTCGATGGGTAGGGTTTCACCTGCGTTCCAACCTACCAGTCTATCTCATTACCAGTTAGCCAATGTTTGTTGTGGTAGCTACCTGCTTTGGGAGCAGTGCCCTCTTCTTGTTCACATCCCTTGTGCGGCTGCTGCTTGTCTACTCCTTTTGCAAGAGACTGGACCCGTGCCGTCAGGCCTGCGCTGTGTAGTGATTGGACGCGGTCGACTCATCGGAACACCTGTAGCTAGCCTGATGGTGCGATCAGCTAATGCTACTACTACCATTTGTCATACCGGTACCCGATGCCTCGAAGAAGAGGTGAATCGTGCTGAAATCATCATCTCAGGCGTTGGCAAAGCTCATCTAATAAAAGGACACTGGATTCGAACAGGCGCAATCGTAATCGATTGTGGAATAGACGCATCATCAGGTAAAATCGCTTATTTTCTGACTCAAGCAATTCTCAACAATATTAAGGGAAGGTCCTTGGAGATGTTGACTTTGGGGAGGCTGTGAACCGCGCTGGATGGATAACACCCGTACCAGGAGGTGTTGGACCACTCACAGTCGCCCTTCTCATGAGGAACACTTTGAATGCGGCAAAGCGGTATCATAGTATACCAGTTCACCCACCTTTGATGAAACCAACAGGTATCCTTTCACAATAGACTGACTTTGTATACAAATAATGAGCATAATGATGCAAACAATAGTGCAGTGAGTCTGTACATCTCTCATGAATATACCAACAATTGAACTATTCATCGTTGTTTCGACCTCTTAGACTCCGGACGGTGTTGACTTTTCGCTTAAATGGTATGGGCGGCACTGGAATGATAGAAGGTTCGGTTTTAATCTCGGGACACGGTTTGGGGCGAAATTCAATTTTAAGAGCTGCCCTCTTGGCAGCCAACGAGATGGGGGCATGCTTTTCCTCAAAACTGAGGTGGTAATGCGAGGATATGTCAGCCTCGTTGACCTCCGAAAGGTGAGATAGGAGTTCGGCCTTTTCGGTAATTTCCTGCAGCTTTTCCTCATTACCTTTAAAAGTTTTACTCGCCAACGAGGTGATTCGAAGCTTGATATCGCTCTCTGGCTTTGGTGGTTCCGGTTCCTCCGGTGCAGTATACACGGCAACGTTCTCCACTGGTTCTCTACCAAAACGAGAATTATGGATTGAGTACACAGCTGATTGGGTCGACATCGCGGAAGCACACTTACGCAGGAAGTACGGGCTCCCATTCACCCAGTAGATTTATTCGTGGCCTTTTCTCCTGGCTAGGACTTACCCCGACGCAACGATCCGGCATCACAGGACCTTCATGAATTACACACTCTTCTGCCTCAAACTTTGGAACGGCCGGCTGGGTTTCCCCTGGCGATGCTCCAAATGCCTGACAAACGGCCGAACTGGCCTCGGACACACCTGACTCGCTTAGTTCAACAAGTCGATTGAACAAAAACTGGTCGAGCCTTTTCTTCTCCTGTGAAACGCACTCTGAGTCATTGGCAGGTTGGATCGAAGTCCTGGGACGTTCCCATTGTGTTACACCAGTCTTCTTGTTCCAATAGTACATTCGACCATCTGTTGTTTTCACTTCTTTCCATTCGTAAGTAATTGGTTTGGAAACCACAGGTACGGGAGCAACAGATGCAGTAGGGTTATTTTTATCAAATTTACGCGCCTTTGACTGCTTTTCTCCTTGTATTTTCTTTAGCTTTTCCTTCATATTAGAAAATTGATCGTCTGTTTAGGCATTAGGAGGCAAAACATGAGTACCTGAAAGGTCGACACCATAGCGCTTTGCAAGAGAGGGGTCACGTTCAATATCCTTCACCATCCCAACAAAAGCCATCTAAAGAGACCTCAATTATAGACGTATTTACGTACATCGTTTATTAACGATATTTTCTCACGCATCTTGCCCTTGGAGGAAGCATTCGCGTTCCGTTGAAGCTCATTCAGCTTTTTCTGAACATTGCCAATATGACGCTGACCACTCTCATGATTATTGATGCTCTAAATTGCGTGAAGATACTGAGATTCGCCAAAACTAGCAGACATAGCATGAAACTGCATTTTAAACAGCTAACAAATAGTAACAAGAGAAAGTTACTGGAAACGTGACATATTCCTTGTGACAAGCATTGAATTTAAAACATACTATTGCATTATCTTGAATCCAGCACTTGCATATGTCACAATACTTCTTAGGATTGCTCTTCCAGTAATCAGCCATAGAACCTATTCAGCGCTCGTCCCACCGAACCCTGCCAGTTAAATGTAGCTCCGACACAAAAATGCAGTTAACACTTTCAGCAAATACTTACAAATACTTTGGAAATAGCGTAGAAAATTCAATGAATTTGTGATATAGTAGGTAAGCTCCTGACTTTAATAATGGTATTCCTATTGCTCGTAATAAGTTTTAAAAAAATTAAATAACATTTTATTTCACTTTTTTATATATAAAATGTTAATGACAATTTTTATACCACTTTTTATGCTTTAAAACGAAATTGTTTTAAAAGAGTGATCAACATTTGAGGGGTTGATTCAGTTAAGGCGTGTTGCTCCGCTGTTCGGCTAAGGAATTTGTTCAGCTCACGCTCAAGACAGGTGTGATGGATACTAAGTCTGAGCTCGCTTGCACTTATGCTTCTCTCATTCTTGCTGATGATGATATCGAAGTAACAGGTTGGTTGCACTGATTTTTGTTTTCCTTTTGTGGCTATCACCAAATCTTACTGTTGTCCTATGCAGCTGATAAGCTCAATACCATTTTGAAAGCTGCTAACTGCAAGTTCGTGGAATCTTATATAACGAGTCTCTTCGCCAATGCACTGAGCGGTCGTAACATCAGGGATATTATCTCTGCCTCTTCGAATGTTAGTGTTGCCGCCGCACCTTCGGCTGCTGCTGCATCCGGTGCTCCCAAAGTCTCCGGTGGTGCTCCGGCTGTAGAAGCTGCTCCTGAACCAAAGAAGGAAGAGGAAAAGAAGAAGGAAGAATCTGAGGAATCCGACGAAGATATGGGCTTTGACTTGTTCGGTTAATGTGCATATACGTGCATACATACACTGGAACCCTGACTGGATGCAGCTACCTTTGCTTTAATTATTCCGGGATGGCTAATGCTACTTTTAGTGTACGGTACACGTGTGTGGGTGGTGTTGACGTCTGTCCGCTTTGCTTTTGTCTGGCTATGGTGCTGTATCTGCTTTACATAAAAGGACAAAAGCGTTTCGATGACTAAGGTTTATTTGTACACACTTGAGTCGTGCTTTTGTTGTCCGCTAGGTGGAATGTTTAGTCCGTCTAATTGTTGCTCTCCTCGCCGTTTGCTTCATTCCGTGCCTCGGTGCACTTGCTTAAAGCGTTGCCGCGTTTCACCCGTACCTAAAGCGTAACCATATGTTAGTTGGGCTTTTTTCACGCAGCAAATTGTCCTGTAATGTCTTCGCGTTCATCACGTTGAGTCATTTACGAGGTGTTACCTGATCGAGAGCGAGACCGCTGTTAGCCAAAAGTCGCAGATACTTCTGTGACACCAGTGATGCCTCCGTAGGCTTTTTCCAGCGCTTGAGCAGGAGGGAAAGACAAACCACAGTGACAGACGACGTTGCCATTGCTGCTGATGACATCCATGGTGCGAATTCAATTCCAATGGGGACGAGGAATCCCATGGCAACTGGAATGGCGATGGCATTGTAGATCAAAGCAGCGAAGAAGTTGAGGCGGATGCGACGCACTGTTGCTCTTGAAAGGGAGATGGCAGCTACTACATCTACGAGGTTGTTACGAACTAAAACGACGTCTGCTGTTGCCACAGCTACATCAGCGCCACAGCCTATGGCAATTCCAACGTCGGCTTGAGAAAGTGCTGGACTGTCATTAACTCCATCGCCAACCATTGCGACAAATTCGCGTTTTCGCTGCCTAGAAGAGGTTGAACAGATTCCACGCAAGACACCTACAATAGCGTCAATCCTTCATTTGTCATCCATCGCCAAATTAAGTTTCTGCAGTTTGTTCGTTGTTACTCGCAAGCAGGCATGCATATAATGACTATAAAAGTTACCATGCCTGGCGAAGCATCGAGGTTTGTGCCAATTGCGATCGTTGCGTTGTCCAATGTACGTGTATTTCCCTTTACGATCATCGAGGAATCTTTTGCGACCTGAGCTCGCGAATGGTGCCTTAAGATCACCAGGACATGGGTGGAGAGGGTCATCACCATCATCGTTATCTGTTTCAGAATAGGAGGAATCCTCCTCGAGAGAGATTTGAACTGTTTGACTCAAGCCGTCTGAGTATTTTAAGGTCTGCAGAAATGCCACTCGTTCATCTACGAAGTACTTGTCACTCTCCGCCTTTCCATTCCTCGCCACCAAATGGTTCCATTTCGCAGATCCATGATCGTCTGCTAATTTATGCAATTCGAAAGGTTCTTTAAGGCTTTGAAGTAGAATGAAAGTATTAACGAATTTATGAGTATGAAATGTTTACAGGAGGATGGGTTACCTTTGACATGACGTGTCTGTATCCGCCTAACTTGTGCTGCTTTGTGTGCGGGAATCACTTCACTGTGGACGTCACGGATACCGACCTGAAGGGAAGGAGTGAATGTAAAAACCATAAATCATCACTCCATTGTAATTCAGATTCGAGCTACGTCAGATCAATGGAACAGTATACTGCCTCGAATGTAGAACTTTTAGTATTTAAAGGAGTAACACAATGACCGATAAGCCTAACCTTTCTTGCGATGGAGGTAGCAGATCGAGTGTTATCCCCGGTAAGGAGAGCCACACGAATGCCCATGACTTTGAGAGCTGCAACAGTAAGTGCAGCCTCATGTTTGATTGGATCTGCAATTGTAATAAGAGCAATTAGGCGATTGTCGACTGCCACATGAACTACAGTGCGTCCCTCCTCTTCATCCTTTCGTACGACAGAATCCAAATCCATCAGTGGCTCCGCAACAGCGTTTTTTTGCATCCACCTCCGATTACCAACGAGTAGATGATAGATGCCACCTTGAGTCACATCTACAGCAGACAGGAAACGAAAAAAGTAAAGAGATCGAACTATAGTCCGAATCCAAACTCTAAGCTGGAACTCACCAGCCCAGGAAAGTGGTGAATTGTCCGAGTTCCACCTCACTGAGTAGTAGTCTAGCTCCAGACGTAAAGCAGCATCATAGTCAGCATAGAGTTGGATTTGCTGATCTGATTGTCCATCAGACGAAAGACGAGTGGGCCGAGGTAGTTCAGTTCCACTAGGGCAGTCTTCGGGCAACACCATGACATCGCATGACATACCATATCCTGGCACCGTCTCCGCATTGGTCACCTTATAGATCACGTTAGAGAAGGACAGATCCATCTTACCTTGGCAAATTCTGATTTCCAAACATGGCAGTTTGACTGTTCTTTGGAGGCACATTGAATGCTACGTAGCATACGAACAATAGCCGTTGCAATTGGATGCTGAGCTGTGGACTCCGCGCTACCAACCATGTAGAGGAGACGGCTTGGAGAAGTGGGAGTCTGTGGATCAACTTTTTGATTTTTTGATTCAGGCTAGAAGAGAGTGAATATGATTTAATAATCACAAAAAAGTATTTCATAATGACGTAGACAACAATGCGGTTTACAACCTGCCGTTGGTAGGAGTTGGTGTGTGA